GCTTGAGGGTGAGGCTGTGAGGGCAACCTGGCTTGCACGTCCCCTCTCTAAGTACAGTAGGCAGTTTAAACAGAGGAAGGAGCAGCAATGAAAGGTGTTTTGGAAAGCATTGAAAAATACAGGCTCATAACACTGTTAACAGTGTTGTGTCACCTCTTCCCTTTGCTTTCCTGCATGGGAGTGCTTAGTCACCTCAGCTCCTGCTTCTAAGCAAGCATGTCCAACTGGCTGCAGTACAGAGGGTGCTCAGGAAAGACTAATGATGTCTTTGTTTGGCTCTTGTTCTCTCCCTCAAAAGGAACGCACAGTACATGACCAGGGACCTGTAAGCCCATGGTAGGATCTGAGCTTCTTGGCTGCCTTATAGGTGCCTCCTTATAGATGTGATGCCTTGACCCCACAGGGAGCAAAGCCCCTGGTGATGAGGTAGGGATGTGAAAACTCTTAGGTCTTGTTCTTGCTTCTCCTGCTGTGCGTGCAAACCCTTCTGTGCTCTCTGTCAGTCCAGTTCCTCTATCTGGAGTAAGGATGTCAGAGAGCTGTGCAACTTTAAAAAAAAAAAATTAAAAAATCATGTGCTGCAAATTATACCAAGATCTGTGAGCGAAAAGGAGGACTGACTCTGCTTTTCCTTACAGGCAGACTACACTAGTTGTCTATATCATGTCTCTGGTGGGAATGATAGCCTACACCTTCACTCTGAGCCTAGGTCACCTCTGGGTGGTCTTTGTGACTGCAGGTGTGCTGGGGTAAGTTCATATGCTGGCTGCTTTCCTCAACATGTGAGCTGCTAGAGGATTAGCAGGGAGGCAGAGCTCATGGCACAGGAGAGATTGGGGAGAGCTATAGCCTGTGTGTGGCTCCTGTGTGGTTTAAGGACAAAATGATCTGCTCTTCCCTTCTCTCTCTTGTATGTGTTTCATTAGTCAGGGACACTAACATGGCCCTGCTCACCTGCAGTTGCCTTAGATGTTCCAGGTAATCAAGTAAAAGCATTTGGGAAGTGAGGGATACCCCAGCCCCGCAGATGGCCAATGGGCAGGAATGAAAAGCATGTGGGCCTGGGTGGCTGTTCGACTGCACTGGCGATGATGCCTCTTAGAGTTACCTGTCAGAGATGCTGCTTTTAATGCCTTATTCTTGTAGCAACTGGCAGCTCCCAGCTGGCCCAGCTCTGTGCCTTGAGGCTGTGGGCAAAGGTATTTCTGGGTAGAAGGAAGACCTGTGCCATGATGAGGGAGTCAGACAGCTGCCTGGGTTGTGACAATGCTAGCGGAAACATCCTGTGCAGTCAGTGAAGCATCCCAAAAGGGATATGGGCTGCACTGTGCCTCTTCAGTCTTCCTTCTGACAATTACTGAGTCTTCCTTTCTGTGTGGTTTTTTTTTTTACAGGTTTTTCATGACAGGATACCTTCCCTTGGGCTTTGAGTTTGCTGCAGAGTTGACATACCCAGAATCAGAAGGAACATCGTCAGGGCTCCTCAATGTCTCAGCACAGGTAGGTATGCTGTTTTCCCTTTGCTTGCCTCTTTATAGGCAGAGAAATTAGATTGTAGTTCCCAGCCTTGACTCCTGTTTCTTGTCCATGATGATTATTGTAATGTACTGCAGATCTAAGCACCCTAAGACCTGGCTTTTTGAATTTTGTTCCTCATGGCATTTCTCTTGTGGCATCCATTCCGTTTCTACTTAGGAAAACCCATCAGGATGCCAGTCATCCTTGCCTTTTCCAACATTGTTCCTAACAGCCTAGAACCTGGCTCTTCTCCAGTGAGAGATGAGATTCCAGCCTTAAGGGTCACCTGGCTTCCCATCAGCTGAAAGGAGATGTCTCTGGATGTGTTTATAATCAAACTTTAGCCTCACTAGGCCAACAGCTTGGCTGGCCTGTATGCTCTCTTACTTTAGTAAAGCTGGGAAGCTGTTTGGGCTGCTTTATAATAACAGTACAGCTTGACACTGCCTTTGTTTGTTTGTAGATTTTTGGTATTGCCTTCACCATCAGCCAAGGGCAAATCATGGATCACTTTAGCACAAAGGCAGGAAACCTCTTTCTTTGTTCCTTCCTGTTCCTGGGGACAGTTATGACAGGTAATTAAATTTTTCAGTGTTCCTCTGCTATGATTCTTCCCCTTGGGCTTGGCATCTGGATTGAAGGGCTTTTGTGTGCAGTGGTGCCTGCAGAAAAGGGCACACCCACACAGCAGTCCCATAGCGATGCTGCTGTGCTTCTTTAAGTATCTGGTCTGTGTTACAAAGATGATTGAAGGCTGCTTGCCCTGGCTGCTGGCTGAGATCTCAAAGATGCACCTTCTACATGCTGCAATAAGGAGTCTCTATCCTGCCTATTTCAGAAGTGCTTTCTGCCTCATCCAGGACAGTGGTTTCCCTTGCTTGCTGTAACGTGTCCCTGTCTCCTCTGGGGCCTCTGCTGCCCCTTTGAGTCTTGGGGAAATTTATTTGTGCTCTGCATGGTGACTTAACTGCCTTCACATCTCTCTCTCCCCCTTCCTCTGTCCCAGCATTCATTAAGGCTGATCTCCGAAGACAGCAGGCCAATTTGGATAACGAACAGACCGTGAGTAACCCCCACTTCAATCCCTGCTGTGCCCCTGCTGTTAGCTCAGGACAACACCCAACCTCTCTCCTTTCTAGGAGCCGGGATGGCCCTTTCTGAGTTATAATTGCAGCTGCGATTCTCTTCTCTTATCCCATCACTTCTTGCCCAGCCTGTGGCGAAGCTCCTTGTTGGCATTTTCAGACAGGTGGCTGTAATCCCAGCTCTACCAGCTGCTGGGGCCTCTGTTTGCTTACTGTTAATGTCACGCAGAATCTGTAGGCTCTGGTCCTCTGGGAGTCTGCAGGGCTTCACACGTTTTTGTATCGGCTAGGGACAGATGCAGGCCAGCACTGCACTCACTGTTCTCCCCTGACAATGCACTGAGCCCTCGAGTGCTTTGCCCTTGTTTAGAGCTGAGTAACTGTTATTCCAGGCCCTTAGGGAGGCAGGGTATTCCTCTTATTCCCTGTCCTTACCTGCCAAGTGGGGTTCAGGGTATGGGACTGGAGGAAGCTAGGTGGCAAAGCCCAAATGAGGGCTTGAGCAGCCTCACTCCCCGCACTTTGTGCCGTGCTGCAGACAAGTCTGCTAGTTTGTATGTGTGCACCAGAGCTCGGGGCATGATGCCCCTGGGGCATGCTGTGCAATAAATGCAGCTGTTTCCATGTGGGAGAGGGCCTCTGGTAATAATAATTGCAGCAGATACTCTTAGAAGCTCGCCCTGCAGGGAAGGGGAAGGGATTGTGGTTGTTTGAGGCTTTTTTCCTTATTGCTCTGGGCTCCTCTTCTAGGGCGTTAGCAGAGACCACTCAACGTTCATGAAGCCATCAGCGACTAAAACTAGGAAAGTGCATAAGCTCAGTTCTCTGCTGGCTCAAGTCAGCTCTTTTCAGAAGGCAGTACTGCCTTCCTCCAGATAATCTAACCCGTCTGATCTGGAGGGAGACCATAAGGTCCAAGAAGCATCTCTGCTCCAACCAGCTGCTCAGGAAGGTGGATTTTTTTTTTTTATTACAAAATATATGCTTTTTAATGTTATTTTTATTTTTTATTAATTTTTACTGAACTCCCTGAGCACAAATGCAGAGGGTAGGATAAGTAAAAGGAATTGATACTCCCTTGAGCAGTTCTTGCACTATAATTCTAGACTATAACAGAGGGGAAAAGCCTGTACAATTATCTAGTTTGGGTAAAGTGATCCCCCTCCATTGTCATAACTTAAAGAGTTCCTGCTTTTCCTGCTCTGAGGCTTACAACTTTGCCTGAGTTTTAGCAGCCTATAGTCTATGGGACGAAGCTGGAAGATGACTGCTTTACCAGAATCCTGGTGTAAATGGAGCTGACTGGAACACGCTTAGCTAATCTGAGCTGGAGTAAAGACCAGTCTATTTTGATGTACACCAAACTGCTTGCATCCCTCAATCAACAGTGCTTAAGTCAAAGGCAGAAAATAAATTGTGAAGCCAAACCATTGTCCGCAAGCCCTGAGGCAGCAGGGTTGTAATGAGAGGTGCTGGTGGCACCATGAGTTAATTCATAACACGTATGTGGAAGGCCCTGGAAATATCAAGGTCCCTTGGCAGTGAACATGATGCCTTGTAGCAGTAAGGGCCTTTCCCTTTGTCAGACACTTCTCTCACCAGATGAATTGTACATTTTTGCTTAAGCCATTTTTGATATAAATCTTTTAGTATAAATATAATTGTAAGAGCTTGCTGCTGGAGGGAGCAGGGTGTTGAGACCAGAGCAAAGGTGGTAAAGGTGTCATTTCTATAATCCTAAAAGCCTCCAGAACTGACTGCGGTTAAGAACCAGAGGGATGTGAGTGAGGCAACAGGTCTCAGTCAGTCAACACCTTCACGGGCAGCTCCTTCCCCTGAGGAGCCATGCTCTGAGGAGGTCATGGCAGACACGCCACCACACCCTTGAGTGTGGCCTCCACACGGCCGAGCTCACCTGGGTGCTTCTCAAGCTTAACAGACAACTCCAGGTGCTCGACCAGCTGAAGGTGGGCTGAACCTGGTGTTCTGGGACTACACAGATGCCTTGCTCAGGGGAGCAGCCAGCTGGGCTTGGGCATTGTGTGCTGCCTTTGTGGAGAGCTCTGATGGAGTCAGGTACTGGAACCTTTCTACTCGGCACAGCTGCCTTACACATGCTTTGGTGATTTTACTGGTTTCTTCCTTTGCCTGTGCCTCTGTTTTATTTTCCCCTTTTTCATTTCCCTCCCTCTTTGCCTCCATCTTTTCTGGGATGGTGACTTGTGGCTGTTGTTGCAGAGACTCCAAGACAGCAATCAGATCATGGA